CTTTTTCAAATGTAAAAATGTCCACCCGTGCGACGCCGGGACGGGCCGCTAGTATATAAATATTACTGTATATAACCTATCCCTTCTCGATTTAGTTCTAAACAATATTAGTTGCATTAAATGGTAACAAAGATGGCCGGTCTGCATACAAGTTTTGCAGTGAAAGGGCCATTGCGTTATGCAATAACATAGCTCTTACGCCGAACTAGATTCTGAACGACATTGACCTAAAGGATGTTTGAATGCATTTCATATCTGCAATAATCTATGACTCTTTTTCATAATATTTTTTTTTTTAAGTGAGGGATCATCTTTTAATTAAACAAACGTGAGATGAAAAAACAGGTCAATTAGCAAATCGTGATGAATACACCAGTAATTCAGCACGATGGTTTCCAGGTGGGACCACGTGGAGGTCGACCTGATAGGGTATATTGTTAGCAATGAATCCGTATTACTAACAATCCCTCCCCCCCCCCCCCCCCCTAAATAATTAAGATTTTATTCTTCAAAAAATCCGACTTTAACTATGACAAAACCATTTATTTTGATTTGAAAACTAAACTTTTTAACCAATTTTGATAAAATTTCTACTAGACTAATCTGTAAGTATAAATTTTCGGATAAAAAAGAATTTTCCAAATTGGATTACAACTGACGGAGTTTTGAGATGACAAATATTTTAAAAAAGTACAACCGAATTGAGAAACTTTCTTTGAAGCCGGTTGAAAAAATTTGGTTTCAAATCGCTTGCATATATACAAACAAATAGATTTTGTTCTACAGAAAAAAAGCATCGACTTTAAACGTGGCCAAAATATTTTTTTTATTAAAAAAAAAAGAAACTACTAAACACAGGGCCCACCATGAATTATTGTTTAAGATATTTCGGGGCTGAACGAAACACAAATCTGTTGTTAAAATTACATAATATATACCATTCAAAAAATGTTAAAATATCGGACTTTTATGATAGGATTTATGACATACGAATTGTTAACCTCCATTGGGCTGATTTCGGTATGAACAAAAACACGAAATTGAATGTGAAAATATGGTATTTCAATTCATGGTAGACCCCTTGATTTCAATGAAGTTATGTATGGAACCAATTTGAAAAAGGGAATTTTTCAAATCGGTCTATAAATAATGTAGTTGTGAGAAAACAAACTAATAAAAACATAATCAAATTAAAAACCTTTTTTCTATCGAAATCGTTATGAAAACTATAAATGAATTGGGAACCTAATACTTTTCGAAGGGGGGGGGGAAAGGGATTGTTAATAATGAAGACTGAGAATCCTATTGCTAGCAATATACCCAACCAGGTCGACTTCCTCGCGGTTCTCCCTGGAAACTATCATGGTTAATTCCTGATGAATTCATCACAATGGGCTAACTGGCCTGTTTTCATTCTCATCTATCACCCTTCACTGGTGCTCCTGCAGCGTATCCCGTTAGCGCGGGCGGGGTTACCATACCATTTTCACCCATCAAAAAAAAAAAACATTTCGATGAAGCTTAAGTGTTATCGATATTTCTTGTTTACAATTGTTTTTTAATTCTAAACTGGTCGACCTTCGATCTGACATTGTTAAGACAAATTAAATGTATGTTTTTTTTCCACGTTTATTTTTCTCTTGCAAATGCCATATCGCATTCCTATTCAAATCTGACGACTCATTTATAATATTTACAAAATAAAATACATGGTATAAATGTTGTTCGAGTCTAGATTTTCACCTTTCGTCCTTCCAGAAGAAGCAGATTCGTATTTCGACTGTTTTTTTTTTTGTGCCTATTTTACTACATTACGAGACATGGGTAATATGGATACCGATCCGATATCTATACATTGGGTTCCTGTAGTCATTGATGGCGGGAAAGGTCATCACCCCTTCCGATATCACCCATATCGGTCGGATATCTATTTTCGAATATGTTAAAAGTCTGTTATCCAATATTATTAATTTGGATAATAAGCTTTTAACATATTTGTCATTAAACTAGTATATGGATTTTTTTTTATACAACTTAGAATGGCAAACAAGCTTATGGCCCACCTGATGGAAAGTGGTAACCGTCGCCTATAGACTTGAGCAGTACTATGGACATAACAGAGTACACCGTCTCGCCCATGATACCCCCAATGCTTTGCTATTCCTGAGGACTCAGGTGTTATTCCTCTGTACCATGTAAATTCACGCCATATCCCACCCTTCAAACCGAAACACAGCCATGCAAACACAACTGCTTCACGGTAGAAACATGAATGGGACAGCGGTACCCAAGCAAACGACTTTTGTACAAAGTCTCCCTCTGGTGATATAGATATTGTAACTAAAATATTATATTTAGATACTGATGTATATCATTCACCCCTACGACGTCATTTCTGAACCAATTTTAAAAGGTAATTGTTCGAAATTAAATTAAATTAGTTTATTTGCATTAAACAGGTTCGTATCTGGCTCAAAGGATATCTCTGGCAATCCAACGCGGAAATGCCGCAAGTGTCATGGGGACCTTTGGGTCGGGTACGGATCATGAATGGGACTGATCATTAATTAAATTTTTTTTTGTGTTTCTATGAAATATATTAGTTTTATATATATATATATATATATATATATATATATATATATATATATATATATATATATATGTAAGTAAATAAGTTCATAATTAATTTGACTATATGGTAATAGTATTGAATGTTTCGATGTTAATATAATTACCTGTTCTTAAATTGTTGCATGCCCGATACGGTATAACTGTTGATACTGATGTCAAATTCAAAGCAATAGTTACTGCTATATGTATGTACACAGTTAGCAATGAAATTCTATTCTATTCTATGTATGTATGTATGTTCTATGTAGCCGATATAAATCGAGAAAGTAAAACCAAATAAAAGATATTGTCTGATAAGGAAATGATTATTGTGCCAAAAAAAAAACAGTTTAAATTTATTACAAAAGCCACTTAGTACTATTTCGGCACCTGTTTAATTGCCTTAAGGGATCTAGGCATGCAAATTTATGACATTTTATAAAAAAAAAAAACGGAAAACAAAATTATAAGATTAGATGTTTTACAATCATCCTCATCATGTCATATCGGCCATTAATTGTCACTGCTAAACATATGCGTACCCCATAAAGAGGGTTTTGTTTAGTTACCACACTCGGCAGGCGTGTTGGCAACCGCAGTTAGGCTTTGGAGTTGTTTTAAAAGGGACGCTGCTGCCAATTTGTCGTCCCTTAAGTTTTCTTAGTCCCCTCTTACGACACCCATGGGAAGGGGGGAAAGGGATTGTTAGTAATGGAGACTAAAAATCCCATTGCTAGCAATATACCCAACCAGGTCGACCTTCTCGTGGTTCCCCCTGGAAACTATTATGGTTAATTCCTGATGAATTCATCATGATGTGCTAACTGGCCCGTTTTCATTCTCATCGATCACCCTTCACTGGTGCTCCGCCAGCGTATCCCGTTAGCGCAGGCGGGGTTACCATTCCATTTTCATCCACCAAAAAAAGACACCCATGGGAAAGGAAGTGGTGGCCTATTCTATGCCACCAATCACCCATTATATGCCCACCATAAATAATTTGTTACCTCAATTCAGTTGTAAACTGATTTAAAAAAATATTTTTTTTTTATCTGAAAGGATATACATTACAAATTAGTCGAGTTGATTTTTTTTTAAAATCAGGTCAGAAGTTTATTTTTTAAATCAAAATGTAATTTTTTGCCACAATTGAAGTAGGTTTTTTTATACTTGACGTATCTACGAAACATCTACGACGAGATGTCGTCGACGATATTTTGTGAATTTGTCACGATAGAAACGCTGGTTTTTTTGTAGAGCAATACAGATTGTTACTCCATTACCATACCGCACGTAAATGATGGCTTTAACAACGTTATCCTCATGTTTTTACCATAAAAAATATCCTATCTTTTAACTTAACACTGTCAGTCAAGTTTAATGCAAATCTTTTTGGCATTTAAGTGTGTTTAAAAATCAATCAACTGCCTCGAATATTTTGAAATTTTGGAATGGTGACGATGCTGTTCGTGTCCGTAGCCGACGGTTACCGCTTTCTTTCAGGTGGGTCGACAGCTTGTTTGCCTATCTAAGCGTCATAAAAAGCCATATATATTCTTTATTGCGCTTTTAAAGTACAAAGATAAAGTACTCATAGTTACAAATATTGTGACCAAGGATAGGACTGTCTCTAAAAGAGATCTTTTCCAGCCAACCTGATACAGTGGCAAAGGACGTAGTTAGCGAGCAGCTAAACCATCTGAATTTCTTTGCAAATTTTTACTGCCATTAGAAAAAATTGTATATTTATTCGTTCCTTTGTCCGAATATCAGTCACTGAACCCCGCGACTCTAGTTCCCCGCAACCAATTTACGTTTTGTTATTCCTTTTTGTTTTCTTTAAAAAAATAATAATGCGTGAAGGTTTTTATAATGTCCGCTCCAATTCCGCGATATATATATACAGTGTTTACAAGCAAGATTCATGTTCAAGGTTCACTAATACGTTTTCGTAACTTCCGCGGTACCGTGGCAAATTAATTACGGCATTGACATTGCTTATTTTGTAACTATGAATTGAATTATAACATATATTAACACATTAAGGTTGAATATGCAAACTTAATACGCAAACCCGTATAGCTGTTCAGCTTTTGTTCCTTTGTCTAACAATTTAAAATGCCAAAGTACGAGTTAGATATTGCGATACTGTACACGAATTCGGTCTACTAATTCCTGGCAATCTATCGTCGTATTGCACAATCTTGTGTGGGTACTGTATAACTAAGTATATATTAGCACTGCTCGAGTGGCTCAGACAAAGAAACCGCTTACCGTAGGATTTATTTCACTATCTATTACCTATATTTGGCGAGCCTCTGTGCCGCAATTGCACAAGGCACCGCGTCGGTTACTCATACAGCCTAGGTGAAATGAAACGTAAACTCTTTATATAATTACTATTTCATTTATTCACACACATCCTCGCCACTGTTGCATATTTTATATATTTTTTTTAATTTATATACATTCCAAACATTTGAGTATTATTACATTTGGTATCTAAATAACTTAAATCACAGTTTACCATCCGTGCGCGAGGCCATGGGCGTATCCGAGACCGTGCGCGCCGTACGCCACGGGGGCGACGACGGCGGAGTGGATGAGGGGGGCGGGGTGAGACTGGGAGAGGGATTGGGTCACGACTGTTTTGCTGGCGGCCAGCGCGGGGGCGGCGTATGCAGCGGGCGCGGCGTATGCAGCGGGCGCGGCGTAGGCAGCGGGCGCGGCGTAGGCAGCGGGTGCGGCGGCGTAGGCACCGTGCGCAGCCACCACGGGGGCGGCGGCGTACGCGGCGTGTCCGACCACGGCGGGGGCCACGCGACCGGCCAGCTGCTTGGCGATGACGGGGGCGGCACCGGCGGCGGCGCCGTCCAACTGAGCCTCAGCGGTCTTCACGGCGTCGACCGCCTGCCAGGAGTGGTCTTCAGCAGCGTTGATGGCGCGGCCTTGCAGTTCAGCGGCTTGGTCGTGGTATTCGCGGGCGGCGTCGACGGCGGCGCGGGCGTGGTCGGAGGCTTCAACGTGGGCGTCGATGGCGGCACCCTGGATGTCACCGGGGGAGATGGTTGGGAGGGCGGGTCCGTGGGCAACCGCGACGGGCGCCGCGTGAGCTACAGCTAGGGGTGCAGCATGAGCCACTGCGAGCGGCGCGGCACCAAGGGCCAAACCATGACCGGCTAGCAGGCCCGAGGGCACTGCAGCGGCGGAGGCGAGGACGGCGGCGGTGAAGATCTGTAAAAAAACAGCATTTTCAAATTTCGATCCAATCCAATCCTGATTATGTCACAGCACAAAAGCACAACACTAGTTCACGTAACACATTGTTCGATTATTTAATTTTGTTTTTTTTTTTTGTTTGTATAAATCACGATTATGGTAATGGTTGCTCAACTAACCAGAACTCTCATCGTGCACTTCTGTTGTAGACTGCTCGAAGGCTACTGATTACTCTCATTTCGTTGCGGACCGTTTTTATAGTGGTACCGAGCGTGGTGTGAAACGGAACGCGCGTGAAAAAAGTAAGTGGTCGCTCTCAAGGGCGGGAAGGGTGCAGGAAGCGCGGCAATTTTGACAGATTACGTGTTCCGATTTTGAATTTGACAGCGTCGGTGTAATTTCGCGGTCATATTGTTTTTTAATCGCTACTTTCTCTGCATTCTATTTTTCTTTAAGTTTTTCAATATTATTCTGTATACGTACCAAATGTAATTAGTAATATCTAAGAAAAGAAATTAAAATACTTGATTGTTGCATTCTCCTTACGCAGGTATTGCTAAAGAATTCCATTTGCATATTATATTACCTATATTCTAGAATAAATGACCTAAACGTTTACTTATTAGAATTAATTTACATTTAAATTTTAAAACCATATTTTAAGAAAATCCGGATGCTGTTTGGGGTCAAAAAACCTTATTAAATTTATACATACAAAAATAAATCGTGCATACATAAAATCTTTTGACAAAATTGTCAAATTGTTTACTTTTAATAAACATTTTGTATCGAAGCAAACTATTAAGAATAATTCAACTGTTAAGCACGAGCTTAACAATCAGTGTTCGTAATTTTTTAATTTATTCACAAGAAAAGAGTTCAAAATATTTTGATATTTTTTTTTAAATCGGCAACACCTGCTATTATTTCGGTATTACATTTTTTTTAATGAGTGAAAATGGAATATTAACCCGCTTGCGTTCCATATCCATATACGCTGGCAGATAGTGATCTGTCAGCGTATATGCACCTGACTCATCCTTAGCTATCATCCGTCCCTGGTCCTGAAGGTATTCATAAAACTGAACAGGTTTCTCCAAGGAACAAATTCGAAAACAAAAAAAAGCTCATTATATCGTTTTAATACGAGAGGTTGAAAAGTTTTTTTTATGCAACTCAGAATAGGAAATGAGCTGACGACCTGATGGAAAATGGTAACCGTCGCCTATAGACATGTGCAGTACCATGGACATAACAGAGAATACTCTGTCGCCCATGATACCCCCTTGCATTGCCATTGTGTGTTATGCCTTTGTACACTATAATTTCTTTGCCATATCCCAATCTTCAATTCGAAACACATCCATGCAAACACAACTGTTTACGTTTTTGTTTCACGCGGTAAAACACGAATGGGGCAGAGGTACCCAAGTAAATAACTTTTGTGAATATGTATATATGTATCTATATATATTCAGATTTTGACTATTTTTGGGCGATTTTTTTTTCTATATCCCTCGATTGATCACGTTCTCATCTGATGGAAAGCAATGATGTGGTCGAATTTTTTTTTTTATTTCATTGATAATGTCATTAGATTTTGGCTTGTACATTTTTATTTTAATTAATGAGGCCAATGCCGAGGCTACTGCGCTTACGCCTTTAATTTTTTTTTTTTTATTAAAATAAATAATATACAATTAACCAATTAATTACTTCAAAGGAAGAAATTAAAATGAATGTAACAATTTTGCAAGTATGTGTGTGTGCATTTTTTGGCGGATGAAAATGGTATGGTAACCCCGCCTGCGCTAACGGGATACGCTGGCGGAGCACCAGTGAAGGGTAATCGATGAGAATGAAAACCAAGCCACTTAGGCCATCATGATGAATTCATCAGGAATTAACCATGATAGTTTCCAGGGAGAACCGCGAGGAGGTCGACCTGGTTGGGTATATTGCTAGCAATGGAATTTTTAGTCTCCATTACTAACAATCCCTTTCCCCCCATGTGTGTGTGCATTAATACCCTACATCCTTACGATGATAAATGAGTTTGTTTGTTACCTTACAGCGTCTTCACGGCGTAACCGATCACTATGAAATTTGATATACATGTACGTATATATATTATATGGGATCGAGAAGGCTATAAGTAATTTTTAACACGGTCTATTTTTTGATCGGGCCGACTTGATTGCTTATTTATCATCATCATCATCATCATCATCATTATCATCATCATCATCATCATGTCCTCCCCTATAAAGGGGTTTTGTCACCACGCCATTCGCCACGTTTGGCAGGCGGGTTAGCAACCGCAGTTAGGCTTTTAGTGATATTTTAAAAGCTGTGTAAGCTGCGTAAGTCGCCTCTTACGACACCCACGAGAAAGGAACGGTTGTTTGTTCATATTTTTATTATATTATGATCATTATTGTATCAGCCATTAATGTCCACTGCTGGACAAGTCCCCATAAAGGTAGTTTCGCCAGTAGTTGCTACGCTTAGCAGGCGAATTAGTAAGCGCAGTTCCTCGACCGTTAAGTTCCCTTAGTCGCCTCATACGACACCCGCGAGAAAGGAAGCGGTAGCCCATGCAATGACGGGACCACACGGCGGAAAATAATAAATTGAGCCTCAAAATTAGACATGCTCAAGAGATACACGTTCTTTTTTAAATACACAATCGGGACTTAACGTGATATAAAAACTTTTTACACGTAAATAGTATCTACATACCTGTTTCTTTATTGGCCACGTTTAGAATTTGTTTACACGTTGTTTACACATATTTTAAATAGGCGATTATGTATTTATTACATATTTATATTATTACATGTATCATCTCCCATATTTAGAATTAACAGAATTTTTTATCGTGCCTCCCACCAAATTGTTTATAATTACTCCTCTCCATCCAAAGGTTGCCTGGAAGAGATCGCTCTTAGCGATAAGGTCGCCCATTGTTTTCTCATTGTGATTATTTCTTGTTATTTGTTTACATTTATAATAAGTTTACTATTGTAATATTTTGGAGGAAACAATAAAGAGTATCTATCTATCTATCTATTTAAAATATGTGTAAACAATGCGAAAGTTTGAATTAACAGGGTACAGAGGAATAACATCTGAGTCCTCAGGAATGGCAACGCATGGGGGGTATCATGAGCGAAACAGTATACTCTGTTATGTCCATGGTACTGCTCATGTCTATAGGCGACGGTTACCATTTTCCATCAGGTGGGCCGTCAGCTTCTTTGCCATTCTAAGTTGTATATAAAAAAAAAAGTTTAAACACATTGTCCCAATAGCACGTTTCTGCTCGAACGTTCTTGATGCATCCAGTGCACTGCCTAATGCGTTTAGCGTTCCCACGGCTGTGAAGTAAGTATTTATGATGCATTGTGGGACAGCTGTTTAGGCATCGGATCCCATCTCAGACGAGGCGGCCTTATATTGTGTATTGCATATTGTATCTCTCGAGGCCTAATCGTACAGGTAATTAAATTGTATTGGACAAGAAAAAAAATCTATTTGAATTATAGTAAAAACAGTTATTTTGTTATAAAAACTAAAGTGTTGAACCGATTTTGATAAAATTTTTATAGGACAAATCTGTAAGTGTATACTTTTAAATAAAAACAGAATTTTCCAAATCGGTTTACAACTGATGGAGTTATGATGTATAATAACATCCATCAAAAAAGAACATACAGCCGAATTTCTTAATTCGGCTGTATATAACCGATATTCTTATATCGGTTGATAAAAAAAACATGGTGCATTAATGTTATTATTTTCAACCGACTTCAAAAAATTATGGAAGTTCTCAGTTCCGTTGTACCATTTTTGATAACATGTTACCTCATAACTCCGTAAAAATAAGTAATTTTTCATCAATCATAAAAAATAAGATTATGTTCAAAAAATAAAAAAATATCTGGAGCTACCTTTGTCAGGTAAGAGTATAGAAAATAGCCTACAACCTATTCTCAGACCTACCTAATATACATGAAAAATTTTATAAAAATCGGTCAAGCCGTTTCGGAGAAGTACGATAACAAACTACAACCCGCCATAAACTAAAATTTCATCCCAACCATCTGGACAAGTGGCGGTCCTCCACCGTGCGTTTTTCAAGGCACTTTCTCCCACGCACAACCACTCTTTGGAATCAACTTCCAGCAGCAGTATTTCCGAACCGATACGACAACATAACCTTCAAGAAAAGAGCATATTCCTTTTTAAAAGGCCGGCAGCACACCTGCAATGCCGTAGGTGTTGTGGGTGACCATGGGCGGCGGTAGTCACTTACCATCAGGTGAGCCGCATGCTCGTTTGCCCCCTGTGTTGTAAAAAAAAAAAAAAGTACTACATATTATTCTTTATTTCGTGTATAATTTAGTACATCTTATATATGTGTAAGTATATTTGATATTTATATATACTAGGGGTCGTATTTAATATTTTTTCTCTTGTCGGTGCAACTAATTCATGCATCTTCTTCCAGCCAGCTCTATCCCAGGCCATATCCTTGACCTCCCTATACGACATGACATCTAGTGTTTCCTTTATCTGTCCCATGTAGTTATTCCTCGGTCTTCCTCTTCCTCTTTTGCCCTCTATTTTTCCCTCTACTATGCTCTAAGAAATCGTCATTTCGTATAAGATGACCCAGCATTTTGTCACATTAACGTTCCTCCCACGAACACTCAGGTTGTGGAATGAGCTTCCTGCTGTTTTCCCAAGAGCCTGGGGTTACAGCATGGGGTTCTTTAAAAGGGGTGTAAAGAGGTTTCTTCTGGGTCGGCAACCTCTGGTATTGCAGGTGTTCATAGGCTACGGTAACCACTTACCATCAGGTGGGCCGTATGCTTGTTTGCCACCTCAGTGGTATAAAAATTAAAGATTTTTTTTTAAATTGACACATTTAATTGTGATATTGTCAAACTTTAAACTAAATTTATGTACGCTCCTAAGAACCTCCTCGTGTTAGAAGTGGGATTGAAAATATATAAACAAAGAATAACGACCATTCCAATATCCCAGTATATTAAATATCAGACGGTTTACGAAACGCGGACCAAACTAAACTGGTTCTGAGTTCGTGTTAACCTTTGGTGTGCATTTATCTAGTTGTTAAGTTCAGCTAGATTGTAATTATGGTTATTTAGTCGCACACAGATTGAAATAACAGAATTACACGCTCGATAGATAAAGTTTAATGCGCGGTGAAAACGTCAGTATATAGTACAGACAGTCCTTCCT